ATATATATAAATATATATACAGTGGAATCCTGTTATAACGAGAGGGAGGGGACAGGTGCGAAACGTTCATTATAGCAGGATTCTCGTTACCAGGGATCCAGTAATATATTCAAAGGAAATAATAAAGTAGGCCTTGGCTTATCTATTAGTTTGGTGTTCTGTTTTTTTCTTTTTGTTAGGTCCGTCTCCCCTGATGATGATTTTGTTCAACATGACCTCTAGGTCTTATTTGATAAAAAATCGAATCAGGTTTCTTTCTCTAGAGCTAGCGATGTTGACAGCTTGGCGTTGGCGGTCAGAAAGTAAGGGCTCTAGCCTAACTCGCTCGCTCGCTGTGTTGTTCCCCACCCCACCACATCCTGTTATGCGTTCTGTCTGCTTGCACACGTCACATATTCGCTCCATCCATCACAGAACTGTGACCTCTCCATCCCCACATCAGAGAAGTGAGAGGCATGGTAGGCCTAGATAATCTAGACAATTAAGGCTGGCCTATCATGCGAAGCGTTCCGTTTGTCTGTGCATGCCACACCCTCCCCACTCATTCGCTCCAGCCTTTATTGTTGGCTCATGTGGGCTCTTCCTTTCTTTGTTTCACTCAAGGAGTTGTAAGGCCCTTGGTTTCGCTAGATCACCAACAAGTTTCTCAACTGGCGAGGTTTTATATAACTACTGGCCTGTGCGTTGTGTACAGCAGCAGCAATATTCCGCTATAACCGACTCGCATGTTTGTCTGATTGCGCTATAGCAGTATTTTATTTACAAAGATAAAGAGGGGGAAAAAACGAGGTTTTAGAATAGTGTCTTTATAACAGACTTCTCCTTACTTCAGGACCCGTTATAAGTGGACTCCACTGAATATATATTTTCTTAATCTATGGAGATTCTTATATTTATAAACGAATTTGAATATTGATGTCCTCACTCGAACAGCAGAAATGATGCAACTCCATATATTTTCTGATGACTGTTCATAAAAGTCTGGCTGATCATTCCAGATTCTGATGGCTTTGACGCTGCTACCAAGAACAGTTCCCTGGTCATCAACCACTGCAGCCCTGACGCTTGACGTTCCCACATCTACTCCAACATAAAACCTTGACTTAGGCATACTGTCAGACCCTATAAAACTCTGTAAAGAATTTTCAAAAGACAAGTTCCAGCGATGCAGAAATGGAAGCTGTATCAAAGAAAATAAAAAGCATTAATTTTTTAATTTTTTTTGCAAAAATAAAAAAGTCAGGATAATATTATGTACACTCAGAAAAAAACTTTAATGAAATTCAAAACAAAGTGCGATAGGAGAAAGGAATGAGAATGGACGCATATGATACATTTGTCTTCACACTGAAAAAAATTGAAAAGCACAATATAATCAATACCAACCACATATAACGCTACAAACTAATAGAGAAATTTAAAGCGAATCTCATCACTTTGCATCTTTGCTTTGGTCTTTATTTCGTAGTGATGCTCCTGACACTGATACTGTGGACACCCCTATAGTAGGCCTAAAAGAACTTTCAACAATTTAGTTCAAAGCCTATCCGAGTAGTCATATATGGTACAAGAAAGACAACTTGGGACTTTTCCCAGTTTTGTTTTCTCACGACCCTGACTGATCCAAGAGAGTATGAAATAGAAAGGTTATTTTTCCTTTTAAGGAGGACGAAATTAATTTTTTTTCGTAAGAGTTTTATGGCACTTGCAACACAATAAGGTCATATAAGAGCCGAAGATTATCATTATAGAGGTGTCACACAAGGGAACAAAC